AGTTGCTCTTGCTGGACCGCCTGGCCGCAAGGACGGAAGACGAGACCCGGACCGCGAACCTGGTGCTCGCCACGAGCGGGGTTTTCGTTCTGTGCCTGGTGCTCCTCCTGGTCTGGGCCTTTGCGGAGCACCACCGGTCGGGGGCCCGGTCCGAGGCCTTTCTCCGGGAGATGCAGGAGTCGGTCAGGGCCAGCAGGGCCGACCTGAGGAAGGCCTTCGATGGGCTGCGCGAGTGCCGGAAAAGAGAACGAGAAAAGGAAGACCGCCAGCGCCAGCGCCAGCGGCAGTGGCACCGGCAGTCACACCACCTTGACCGGGGGACGGCGACGATTATGGCCGCACCCCGGACCGGACCAGGGCATCCCGATGGGGACGAGAAAGAGGCACCGGCGGCGCCGAACGGAGACGACGCGCTGGCGGCAACCCACCCGTTCCCGGACAGAGATCCCTTCCCCTCCACCCCCCCCCGGCAAACCACAACCACCGCACCATCCCAGGGCGGCCCGGAAGCAAGGGAGCCCCCCACTACCGCTCCCGCTCCGGAAGGAGAAGACGGATTCGAATTCTCCTTTCTGGGCAGCCTCCCGCGGAGGAAGACGACCTTTGCATCCCCTGCTGGCTTTGGCTGGACCACCCTTGCGCAACAAGAGGGCTCTTTCTCGCCGTGCCTCCGACCTTCCGCCAAGTCGGTTGGAAAGGGCTTTGCTTCGATGCCCAAAGGCCCCCGTTCCCCGTCTCTGGAACCCGCAAACGAGCAAGGAAACCAGGCGAAGCGTTCCTCGCCAGCAACGGCAACGACATCGGCAACGGCAACGGCATCGGCAGCTTCCTCGACAACGACATGGGCATCGACATCGGCAACGACATCGCCACCCACCGTGACTCCCCTCTCTCCGTGCTCGAAGCTCGCAAAGGAATGGAAGGAGGACCAAGATGCGCGCCGCCACAAGTCTCACAACCAAAACAACCACCACCACAAGGACGGAACGAGAAAACCAAGACGACCCATCCTCAAGCCACCTGGTTCGAGACAGCAATCGCCGAATTCTTGCGGCGGCGACGACGACGGCGGCAGGAGGTTGTTCCGGTCCGCGATTCTCCCGCGGGTGCCCCCGAACAGCAAGCTGCGCGACCGGTACAAGGAACAAGAGCAAGAGCAACAGCAACAGCAACAGCAACAGCAACAGCAACAACAACAACAGCAACAGCAACAGCAACAGCAACACCACCACCACCAAGAGCCGGAGCACCGCTCGCTTCTTCTTCCCTGCCCCCCCCGGATACGATCGGTCGCCTCCCGGGACCGCTCTGCGGCGGGAGGCGGTGAAAACCCAGGCACCGACCCCCGGCCGTCGTCGCCGCAAGGCAACGACGCTRGATCGCTGGAATGCGGGGATGCCAAAGGSGGGAGGAAGCCATCCTCCAACGCGATRGATGTAAAAACCCCTCCATCGGCATCGGCAKCGGCAKCGGCRAAAACGAAAACCCCGCAACTCTGCTACACCCCGGTGAGCGAGGACGATTCCTTTGTCGACGATTACTGGTAGGAGGGGTTTGGTTTGTGCCAAGCCAATTCGAGTTGGCGCTTGGGGAGGAAGGGGGTGACGCGACGTTTTTTTCGAAAGAAGTCCACTCCCCAGAACGATGGGGGCAGCAGCTTGCAGGATTWAGAACTACACTACACTACACTACACTCTGCAGACMAMAACTAMTCTACGAATRCGAGATTTAGACCGGGGCGTATTTTTGAAATGCGATTTGCGAATCCTTTATTGTGACAAATAGTCGTTTTCCCCTTTCCAAAACGATTTGTTTCGAACATCCTTACAGTAGTCCTATCCTTTTTTCGTTGGCGCACGGCGCATCCTTCGTCGAGTCGYCTCTTTTGTAGTACTGTACGTACTCTGTGCGCGACGCACATGCCTTCCGTGTCCTCTCCCGGCTTCGATTTCGTTCATCCCAGAGTAAAACTGGTGCGCCCTCCCGGAGGATTCGACACCTTCGACGTCGGGCGATCGGTGAGAACGTTGAAGGAATTGGTGGTGCTGGAAGACGCAAAGGCATTGCTGGAAATCCGAGTGGTCCTCTGTGCCGAAGGGGGRACGCTKGCACCGGAGGGTCCTTCCTTGGTCGCTCYKTCCGSGACCGAAGCGGTCTTCTCCAGAGAAGGGGGCGRGGGATSGTTTGTTTCCGCGGGCCMRGAGCARGGTCGCTCGTTCGTAACGGCCTTCTTCTCGTTCTCGACGCCGGTCTTCTTGGCCGCCTCGCGTTCCTCCCGCAGCTTCTTCATCCGCTCGAGCTCTGCTTCGGTGTATCCCCCGAGGGATATCTGGCAGGTTCCACCCGGGCGGTTCAAGACCCGGCTGAGAAAGGTTTCGGCAAATCAAACCACAAGCAATGCAGCGGTAGGCACAAGACAAGACAAGACAAGACAAGACAAGACAAGAGAAGACAAGACGTGGGCAGAAGAATGTGAGGCGGCGGATCGAATCGAATCGATCGTTGGTGTTAGGATTCCATTCGAGGCTGCGACCGAATCCCATCTATCCCTCCGATGCAACGCATTCGGGATGCAATCATTCACTCACGACGTCGAGCGCCCGTCTCGGACGTAGATGTTCTGGTTTTCGTTCATATTTTAAGAAATAAGGCAGGAAGGTGCAATCGTTTGATAACTTGTTCTTTTGTTTCTTCTCTGTGAAAAGAAATGGACCAACAGTTAAATGCTTTATGGTACTACTGAATAGGACGAGCTCTAGTTGATGAAAGAAGCGATGTTGTCGGAAGCCGTGTAGGATCAAAAAATCGAAAAAGGAACTCATACTGTATTCAGCTGACGTACGGTTCGTACGGTATGGTACGATGAAACGTAAAGTACAAAATACTGCACGGCGGCAAASTAGACTTTCGTTTCAACGTATTGCTCAGTACCGGTACGTACCTGTACCGGTACAACGATACGAACTATTCCATCGAAGGATTTGGTCTGCAGTCCGAATTTTGAATCATTGGAACCTGACAAACTTAACGGTTCTAGGGTGTTGGCAGGCTCGCAAAAAAGTGTGTCCCGAGTCCTTCAGTCCCTTTTGGGCAACTCGCGCATTTTGCATATTCATTCATGCGAAATTCCTCCCGAAAACGGATCACCAGGTTGTCGCTCTCATTTTGGGTGTCGTTGACAAAGTCAAGGTAGGTAGCACGAACGGGACCCATGTTTCCGGTGGGGTCGAGATCTCGTTTCAAGCCAGAGAGATTGYTTGTTTTCTCGTCGTGCGATAAGAGAAGAAGCAAGAAACGGGCGGAAGGATCGAGGTGGCTTTCGCCATCGACGTGAACACGGAGAGGTTGATCGTTTCGCGCCCATCGTAATTTTTGTTTGTGTTCTATGCGTAGAAATCAGTACTAAATCTACTGTGGACGACTCAAAATGATGAGGCATGATCGCTACGGTTGTCGTGAAAGACCACACATGGTTGGATCCAATCTACAGCCTGGTCTTTCCGCAACCCTTCGCAATACTCTCGTTGACGGATGCTTCGAAACAAACTCGGGAAGTTGCCGTCTTTGCCATGGTCAGCGACGTACCAAAGAGGCAAGACATCGACAAGGGAAGGGGGATGGCAAGGGACGAGGTACCGATGTTTCCTAATACCCTTCAATTGCCTTTCACTCGTGACCCGACTCGACTGTTTCTCCGCTTTGTTGTCCTCTGTTTCTACTGGTACGATACGGAATGCATCGTACCGTAGTTTGAGTACGAACACGTAATGTATCGTACACACCACACAGCACAGTACGATCAAGTACGAGTACGAACTGTGCATGCAGACAACACTTGTTTTTTGATTTGTGGCGAATACCCGTACTCGTACTTCACCTCGATTCCATCGCGTTGTTGCACCCGTGGTCGTACTGTCAACTTCTGGTAGCAAAGTACCGTACGTACCGTACCTTTCAGTATCCCCCCGAGTATCAACGTCGCCAAGCCGAAAATCATCATGGAGCGCAATCATTCTGTTATCACTTCATTAACAGTTACCTATCAACTTCGTTGGTGATCGTGCCTTCCTTTCCATTTTTCGCTTCTAACAATCAACATTATTTGCTCACATTCCTCCTCGCAGAGAAACAACACCCACAGATCCGTCAGCCTCTCCTGTTCATTCCAGAAGGTGATCGCAGTGTCATCACGGAAGCTGGACTGACAAGCAAGCTTCCGATAAATAACTTGCCTGGATCAAGCAACCTAAATCGGCTCATCCATGAGGGAACTTCGGGTGGAGGATGCTCTCCTATACTTAGACCAAGTGAAGGTCGAGTTTGGTGATCGTCCGCATATTTACAATGAGTTCTTGGATATCATGAAAACCTTCAAGACCCAGCAGATCGATACTCCCGGAGTAATTCGACGTGTGTCAAACCTCTTTCAGGGGAACAGAAGACTCGTGCTGGGATTCAACACGTTTTTACCCGAAGGGTACAGAATTGAGTTGCCAGACGGAGATGGCCCACCTGTTGCCGTCTTTCGGGCACCAGGTGAAATGGCGGTCAGACACGACCTTTCGGGACCCAACATCCCTCCCGTTCGGCATCACGAACCTCCACAGACGCAACCACCATCCCATGCTGGCATGCCACCCGGGCCCGCTGGAATGCAGGTTCCTCCGGGGCAGCAGCAACAACAGCAGGGTCGTGTCGGGCCACCTGGTTTTGAGGGCATGATGGCTGGTAGGGGAGGGCCCGTCGGACCACCACCTCAGCAACAACAGCAGCAGCAACTACATCACAAGCACAACGGGGCGATGATGGATCGAGTGGCTGGGGCTCCGGGCGGCCTTCCAGGCCAACCAACGATGCATGCGCAACAGATGAGCGACCCGCACGGACAGCAGCAGCTCACGCAGCAGCAGCAACAACATCTCACCCAACACCACACCAATGCGTCACTCGCTCGGGTTGGACTACCCCCGCCACCCGGGAGGCCCGGGTTGGCTGTTGGACAGCCACAACCGCCCCAGCAGGTGATGCGCCAGCAACAGGCAATGGGAAACGGTAGCAACGCCGCTTCTCCCCCAAACGCTGCGAATGGGGCTGGCAATGCGCAACAACCAGGGCAGCCCCTCGAGTTTGATCATGCCATCAACTATGTCACTACAATCAAGAAGCGTTTTGCCGATGAGCCCGAAACATACAAAAAATTCCTTGAGATTTTGCACACGTATCAGAAGGAGCAACGTGGCATCAAGGAGGTCTTGGAAGAAGTTTCAGTTCTGTTTGAAGAACATCCAGATCTTCTAAAGGAATTCACTTTCTTCTTGCCAGATGCTGTACAAGCCGAGGCAAAGCAACAGCTTGCCATCGTTGTAAAAGAAGCCGAGGAACGAAGAGCGCGGAAGCTTGCCGCTGAAAAGCAWGCAGCACTACCCAAGCAACCCAAGCGATACGTTGCACCCACTCCAGCACCTCCTCCACCGGTCGAACGGAGGCCTACGTCCGCCACCATTGCATTCGGTGCCACGGCCCCTCGAAGCGTAGAGCGCGAAAAGGAAATCCACCGAAGCACTGTGTACGGAACTGTATCCTTTGGTCCACCTCGACCCCCAAGAAAGAACATGCCTACTGTAGCAGAGGCTGCGAAAAAGGAAGGCCGACCAACTACGCTACCGCCCTGTCCCCCACAACCCACAACACCCGAGATGGCCTTTTTCGACCGTGCAAAACGCCATTTGAGTCGAAGAGAACTTGCCCCTGACAAACCGACGGGAAGAGCGCGCCATACGCCTTATGCAGAATTTTTGAAATGTTTGCATCTATTTGGATCCGGTGTGCTGAATAAAGACGAGCTCGTTTTGCTGCTACGTGGTCTTTTTGTCCAGGGTCATGCACCGAAGAGCGGGGTCAACGCAGGAGGGGGAGCCAGCAACCCTGCAATCGCAACCGATGCGCATAATCTATTGAACGAATTTCAAGAAATTCTCATCGGCAGAGGACCGTATGCTGATCAGCTGGCGAACCAAAAAGATAAATCAAAGTATGGATCTAAGCGCTGCAGAGATGTGGAATTGTCAGCTAAGCTTTCACCATCGTATGCAGAATATCCAAAAGACTATCCGCACGACCTCTTCATGACGCACACAGGGCAGACATCGGAGGATTCACAGGTGTTGAATAGTACTCTGGTATCGGTCGGTAACGATACAACTGGAATTTGCTCCATCGCAACTCGAAGAAATACATACGAGGAGGCCATGTTCCGAATAGAAGACGAACGATTTGAAGTCGACATGGCCATCGAAAGGAATGCAAATGCAATGCGCAAAACCGAACCCATTGCAGAAGAAGTTCAAATGCTACGAGAGGGAGAAGAGAAAGATGGACAACCTATTGGCCGCCTTCAATACAAATTGAATGCACGCACGCTGAATTCTATTCATATCAACGCTATCGGACGTATATACGGCGAAAATGGGGACGARGTTATACAATATCTCTCTCGGAATCCATTGGCTGTACTTCCAATCATCTATCAAAGACTGCGACAGAAAGATTTGGAATGGCGTAAGCAAAAGAGTGATTTGATGTCGCAATGGAAAGCTGCTACCGAGGCCAACTATGAGGGGAGTCTGGACCACACCTGCTTCTTCAAGCGGCGTGCATTGGAACGTCGTTTTGGATTAGAGCAACTGCGTGACGAGTGTAAGCAAGCCAGACAATACTGTTCAAATCAAAACAAACGCAAGGACAGCCCTGTCAGCTTTGGTTTAAGTGTTCCTGACAGGTCAGCAGTATTTTATCAGCCCTACGCCTCTGTTGAAATGAAACCATCTTCGTCGGTTCACCACAATGCTGTTGGTTTTCTGATCAATCACATCAGGTATAGATGTCACATTGGAGATAAAATCAGACCCCCAAACACAGATGCGCGGGAAAAAGTTGGGAGAATTTGGACGGAATTTATGCTTCCGTTTTTTAACTATCCTAGTTTTTGGGTACTGGAGGAATCTCGACAAAGCTACCAGGGGAAAATCAGCAACGCCGTAGTGCAATGTACGTATTATGTCTGTGTATTTTACTCCCATTTATTGTGTCTTCCTTTCAAAAACTGATTCTCTAAATCCCTTTCAATTTTATCGTTTCCAACCTGCAGATGCTGTTGGGGAACGTGTTATGACTGCATTTGGAGAGGGTACCATTCAAGCATTTGATGATGGATTAGATTCGGAAGAAGGCCCCCGTTATCGCGTAAAACTTCCATTTGGAATTGGTAATCTTCAGCCATATGCCATACTGCATAACGTTGATGCAGGGGACGGATCTAAGTACGCGCGGCGTGACGATGAAATGATAAAGGAAACGAACTCATCGATGTCGGAAGAATCTGAGTCTGCGTCTTCCGTGGTTGTTGACAAGAAATTCAAGCTTTTATTTGGATCCGACAGCATCTACCTCTTCCTGCGTTTGTATGGTTTCCTCATTTCGCTCCTGGACGATATCAAAGAGCATCTCAGTAGAAATCCAACCACGGCTGACCTCAGTCAATCCTACTACAATCCCATGAAATCTGCAGAAGACACAAAGAAGCTGGAAGAAAAATTGAATTTCGACGCTGTTGTTGCAAAACTCAGTGGAGTTGTGTCGAAGAAGACGAGTCTCAATGATTTCGAAACCTTCGCGCGCCGTGTGAATCGGGACATTACATACAAGATAGCAGCGTTGCCAAAGTTGGTAGAACGCTGTGGCGATATGATGATTAAGATGTCGGAGGAGGACTTACTGCCTGGTATATTTGACAGTTCTCAGTATTCCGGTCAGTGTCCCGTTACTCTCCGGTCGACTTGCATGGGGATGTCTTCGACCGCGGAATACCGAATTCAATACAACACCAAACTGGGTCGAATTTACTTTAGTTATTTGCCAGAAGACGAAGAGTTATCTACTACCCTTCCTGGCGACGACGACGATGACGACGACGACGACGAAATGGAAGACGGCGAGATGGACGACGATTACGATGATGACATGGACTTGGATCACGAAGAGGAAGATCTGCGGGAAGTGAAGCGAATCAAGGTTCGGTAGTTGAATTGGAATGCACTAGCAAATGAATCAATGCTGACCAATTTTTTGAGGGAATTGTATACGATTAATGATATTACAGTACACATCATAATAGGATTTCAAATTAATACATGTTCAAATACTCGTCTCATGCGGCAATCATTTTCGCATTCGTACTTCTAGTATGTACAAACAGTCAGGGGTAAAACTATCCATAGCATGCACGCCCCAGCTTCCTGACGAATTTCCTAAATTTGTTAGTTTTGAAAAGATACATGATGCATTGTATCACATGGGCCAACAGGATGATCAGCGTAGTAATGACAATAGGAATATAAAGCTTCTTATCTTTACATTCAATTGCTGCAAAAGGCATGGATGAAACAGAGACGCAGAGTGCGATTTTTGTTCCTGACATGCAGCAGAATCTTGTATTCGTTTTACATCTGAATGTAGATGGTTATAATTTGTATTGTATCGTTCCCTCCCAGATCCTTGTCTCGTCGCACAGATCTGCACCGTTGATAAAAAAGAAAGAATCTRAAAAATTTTGCTTCAAAACCAGATTGTCGATAAACTTTCAATGCCTCCCTTCTTTGTTCGCTGCTCGAAGACATTGGTACTATTGACTCTTTTTGCTTTCGGTGCCGTTCTGTTTCTCGCCGTTTTTGTGCTCGCTTAAATCATGGGCTTCTCCCTTCCGTATCAACACGTATCCCATACGGACAAACAGGCTGAACCAGTAAATGTGCAAAAGAATCAAGACTCCTAGAAGACCCACGAATATGGGCTGGAACATATTGTAGTACATTGGTGGGATGTAGCCAGAGGCGCACACCAGCCATGATTCGTAAATGATGGACCGCCAAACGATAAAGGGCAAAACACAAAGTCTCGTCAAAAGCCACGTGATGCACATGGCCACGAAACATATCGTGGTGGTCGTTTTCCACTTGAGGAAATTTGCGAGCTTGGAGAGATCCACGGGAATGTCGGAAATATCGTGGATGATAAATACCATGCTACCGATGTAATGAAAACGGTAGAACGAACTCCCAATGACTAGCAGATTGGTAAAGACGTGGTGAACAAACATCTCCCGAAAGTCTCCCCGGCAGGTCTCGGACCACTCGATCTTGATCGGAAGCTGCCACTTTTGTGGTTGTTGTTTGGTTTTGTTGCAATGGTGTTCGCACCGGATGGGCTGGAGCTCCACCTTCAGCGAGATCTTCAGCAAACTGATCATGGCTTCGGCGTTGTAGGCACACTGGACAAGGTAGTACCAAATCATTCCCGGCTCGACGGGCTGAAACGGAAAGTTAATGTACAACGATTTTGTGCCCATGGGCGTTGTCGCGTCGTCACCACTACCACCACCGACCAAAAACTCCGAGACCGACGACCACCAGGGCTTGTCGTGAAAGAGCCAGATCCCCACGATCGAAATCAYAGTGTGAAAACACAGACGAAACACGTATTCTCCAAACTTRTAGATTCGATCCGCGTTCGCCTTTTCTTTTTCCCAGTCCGGCCCGTGCGTCTTCCGGCAGTAGGATCGAGCGATGCTCGAAAACGCGGGCTGGATGTTGGCCTTGAGCACCCTGATGCAGAAAACCAGAACCACCAATACCAGCAGGGACGTCMAGGAAAGAACCGAGGCAAGACTGGTGGAAGACGTGGCSAATGCAAAGCGCTTCATCGAACCCATGGAGAACGGCGCCTCGTCGTCGCCCTCTACAAAGTCTTGGTAGGAAAGCAAGCCGGGCAGGTATTCGTTCGGAGTCTTTGTCATTTTGTGCGTGACAGAGAACCAGCTGGAGCTGTCCTCCGACGCCAGGTGTTCYGGAAGCAATGCGCGCCACCGAGAACACAGTCCCCCCAGATAACGATCGCACAGAGTGTCCAAAATGTTGATCGGCCAAGCTACCAGGCAGGGCGGGTAGGCACCGAAATCGATCGGTTGCGAGGCGGTATTCGTGTAAGCTTGGTATTGTTCACTCATTGTTGCGTATGTTCGAACTTCTTCCAACTCTGATSAAYGGCAATCCCTTCCCGCGTGCAACAGAATCAATGATATTTGCCGTGTTTCCAAATAGGAAGTCGTGTTTGTAGTTCAATTGGTGATTTCGTCCAAGAGCAAATTCAAGTGCWATGAGAACACTTAATTTACGTACACCGCGGTACACAGGGTACGGTGGGAGAGGGCGAACAAAACGTGTTCGGTCACGAAAAAATGATCACAATCAKTTTTTACAGAAAAACTCGTATCCTATTTTACCGAGTTGTAGTGGTACAACTTCTTCCCGCACATCGTACGTTGTACGAAGTGTACACACAGGTACTACACTAGACTCATCTTCCGCGTGCCGGCCGCACTTCGTACCGGTATGGCACTCTCGCTCGGACATGAATGACAGTGGTACGAGTTCCTRGTATGAGTACGTACAGTACGTACTGGTACTCGTACTTTTGAAGTGACGTTACGAGTTGCACTTGTGAATTCATYGATGCGCGCTAAAACCGCGCGTGATTTAGCGAACTGTTCGTCGCTGCCATTCATACGGGGGAAAGTGGGAAGAAACCAAAATATTTTTTTGTCGAAGTTCAATCACTCCGGCACGAACTCAAGACGAACAACTGGATTTTACGGTCCCGTGCGGTGAAAGGGACGTTCAGTACTACACACAGATACCAGTACGATTGATTGAAACATATCGATACGAAGTAGGAGTGCCAGCACCACATACAGTAGTACGGTACGTACTATGCCATGAAATGAATGAATGAATCTGATGTGGAACAGGGCAGCTTGGTCGGAAAAAGTCCTTCTGCAGTACTGTACAGTACCGTACTTCTACGAGCTACACTACACAGCGTGAAGGGTACGAGTACGGTAGAAGAAAGAATTTCATGCCACATCGGCTCGTTGTGTTTGGAATGGGACGATCTTGCACGGTGCTTGTGTCGACTCAACACATTATCCAACTCTTTGTAGGATAATAACAACCCCTGCATCACTACAACAAAAAARTACTATATCGATTTCAAAGGTCTMAAAGGACCAACGAATACTACTCAACAATGACACTACGATCCATCCTTGCCTTGTCCCCTCTTCTGTCGGTGTCGGGATTCACCACCATCCTTCCCGGTCGTTCCGATTCCGGTATTGCCACTATCACGAATGCGAACGGAAAYTTCCGAAACACCCRTCTGGCCGACATCGTCTCCCCCTTTGACGGAGGCGACAGCAGCTCCAGCAACGTTGCCACCGAAGACAAGCCCACGCTCGAGGGACCCCTCGATCTCACCTGGGACAACGTGGAAGCCGTCCTCGACGAGATGCGGCATTTTTTGATCCAGGACGGAGGAAACGTTGCGATCACGGAAATCGACGGACCCRTTGTCCGATTGGAGTTGCAGGGGGCGTGCGGAACCTGCCCGTCGTCGACACAAACCATGAAAATGGGTCTGGGTAAGTAGTGCAGCTCGCTGCCTGCGCAACAACGCGCCGCGTTGGATCGCATCGTTCGTTCGTTCCTTCGTTCGTTGCCTGGTCGGAACGTGTTAAGGAGTTGAGTTGTCGGGATGCGTAGACAAGTTCGGACAGGAACGAATAGGGAGTCTCTACCGCGACGAATGGATAGGTCCGAATCGATCGACTTCATCTACGATTCGCTTCACCCTCGYTTTTCGTATCCATCTATTCCATTCCGCGGRAGGCTTTTGAAGCCTACCAAATGGTTGCCCGCTCTKGTCTCGTCTCACATTTTYTTGACGCTTTTCTCATCGGMACCRACAACGACGCAACTCGAATGGTGCTATATSGYACGCGTGCGCATCGTTGACGCTCCAGAACGAGGACTGAAGGAAAAAATTCCGGAGATCCAGGAAGTCATTCAGGCCATGCCGGAAGGCCCGCCCCTCGACGAGGAACAAATCAACGTTGTGTTGGACGGCGTTCGGCCGTTCCTGACGGTCGCCGGTGGAAGCATCGAAATCGATCGCATCGAAGGGGAGGGGGGACTCCAGCCCACGATCTGGTTGGACATGCAGGGAGCCAGTGCATCGCTGAACTCGGTCAAGCTGGAGATTGCGCAGCGGTTGCAGCGACATTTCATGATGGCGGGACTTCGCGTCGATTGGGTTGGCAACCACTCGAACGGGTTCAAATAAACACAGAGTACTCCGATTTTTGGAGTCCTTTGTCACGCATTGGAACATTCTCGTATTTTTTTGATRTTCCGGACTTTTTGGATTTATGATGAAATCTATGCAATCCATGTCACTACAACGAATCTGCAGGAAACCAGCAGAAAAGATTGATGTCACACCACCTCGCTTGTCCTTTCGAATGCCGATTTGCCGTTAGGGGAGCCCATAGTCATCTGGCGACACTGAACTTCACACGATACTACATCGATTCAAACATTCAATACACGCGCACCGTCGCTTTCCTACCGATAAAAGTAGTAGATAGCGTGTTTAGTGCATAACAAATTAATCACCAAGGGCAAGATGATGCGATGTGTTTGAATGTATCTGGTAGATGGATATTTTTTTATGATCGTATTGTTTTGCCTAGTTCTGGTGATTGATGACGCCCGGAAACGCACTGTTTCTAGGGAATCGATTTGTCTTGTTGAGTGTGCGTTGTTCATGACACCAATAGTGTGTTCTTGTTACGATAAGAGCGCAATCGTAGCTCGAGTTACAAATTCAAATCGATAATCGGTTTGCGTCTTTTTTCAGTTCTACAAATTGCGTTGAGATGTTTGAACACATTCCAAACATGCTTAGACTTTCCTCAGAATGACGCCTTTGTAACAAGTTTATACCGAAGTGTAGCGCGCAACAGCTGTACAACCAAATTTGAGACTCTCGTGATTCTAAATTTGATACCACCCGAATGAATTGATCCCGAGGGGGGCACTCSTACACACAGAACACCAATTGCCGGTCTCGACGTCCATTGAGCCCATCGATGAACAGTCCTATTCGAGACGGGTGACGTTCCAGGGATCGTGTCCCAACACAAAGGCCCCCGTCACGTTAAAGGCGAACGAGACTCTCGAATCGCTCTCCGAAGGAGCATTGCGTCCGCCGATCTCTTCCTCCGCAGCGGGAACACCGTGGACGACCCACGGAGGAAACAGGACGAGGTTTCCCTCGGTCGGAGGCAGGATCACGTCGGAATCTTCGCCGTGGCTGCTGGCGGGTCGGAAATCCTCTCCGTTCGTTCCATGGATGTCGTCGGCACCGGGTCTCCGGAGGACCAAGGGCGCGCTCCCCGGTGGTACGGACGCATAGTACACACCCGATACCAAAGCTCCCTCGTGGACGTGATCGGCGTGGTATGCCCCCTTTTGGAACCATTTGAAGAAGCATCGATACAAAACGACAAATCGGTGAGTTGCAGAGCCCTATCGAAAAGCATCGTATTCTCTGTTCCGCACGGCGCATGCTTCAAAGCATGTGTTGCGTTTGCCAAGCACACCGATGTACTGTACCCACCTTTCCTCGCTGCACCGCGGCCCACATATCGATGGAAAGTTCACCGGTCCCCAGCGCCAACAGATCTGCCAACGGCTTTGCTCCGCAGACGTTCTCCAGATAGTAGGACACGATTTGCACCAGGTAGTCTTCTTGGAGACGCCTCGCACAATCGGAGCCCGCGATGGCCCGGGTTGCGAGTCTGTATCCACGATTTTTCTGGTGTTGAAAGAAGAAATCGTTGTCCGTCAGGGCCGATGGGTTGCAACGGGAAATCGAGTGTTCCTCTGTAGCAGAGCGACGCGGGCCGCTCGGCCCGGGGGCCGGCAATTCCGCTCTCGTTCGGCCGGGGGACGACGCTCGGCGCCGTCTGCGCGTCCGYGCCTTTGGCTCGTCGGCACTTTTCGGGGACGATCCCGGAACGGATGTTCCCAGGCGGATCGATCTGTAGTCATCGAATGCCGTGACGGCAGCTTTCGCCAAAGAAGCGTTGAATGCGGTGTCCACCAGACCCGTTTCGAGAAGGTTCGTTGTCAGGACGGGCGCCGCATTCCACAGGTTGCGAACCAGGTACCCGGAAGATGACGATGCTGCCATTGTTCTGCAGCGGTGTTCGT